CCCAGACTCTTTGTAGGTAATGGGAGAGGGAAGGAATCCCATCCAAATGGAATTCCATGGAATTCAGGGGCACAGATTCCAAGGAGTTCAGGGGCACAGAGAGAAGGTGGGATTGGTTTGGCAGCTCCAGGCTGGGATTCCCAAGGGAGAAATTCCCAGTTTGGAACTGTGGGTTTGGGAATTTGGGATCCCAGACTCTTTGTAGGTAATGGGAGAGGGAAGGAATCCCATCCAAATGGAATTCCAAGGAGTTCAGGGGCACAGGGAGAAGGTGGGATTGGTTTGGCAGATCCAGCCTGGGATTCCCAAGGGAGAAATTCCCAGTTTGGAACTGTGGGTTTGGGAATTTGGGATCCCAGACTCTTTGTAGGTAATGGGAGAGGGAAGGAATCCCATCCAAATGGAATTCCATGGAATTCAGGGGCACAGGGAGAAGGTGGGATTGGTTTGGCAGCTCCAGCCTGGGATTCCCAGGAAGATAGTCCTGGTTTGGAAGTGTGGGTTTGGGAATTTGGGACCCCAAACTCTTCCTGGGTAATGGGAGAGGGAAGGAATCCCATCCAAATGGAATTCCAAAGAATTCAAGGGCACAGGGAGAAGGTGGGGTTGGTTTGGCAGCTCCAGCCTGGGATTCCCAAGGGAGAAATTCCCGGTTTGGAACTGTGGGTTTGGGAATTTGGGATCCCAAACTCTTCGTGGGTAATGGGAGAGGGAAGAAAACTGATAAAAATTTAATTCCAAAGAATTCGGGGGCACAGGGAGAAGGTGGGATGGGTTTGGCAGATCCAGCCTGGGATTCCCAGGAAGATAGTCCCGGTTTGGAAGTGTGGGTTTGGGAATTTGGGACCCCAAACTCTTCCTGGGTAATGGGAGAGGGAAAGAAACCAATAAAAATTTAATTCCAAGGAGTTCAGGGGCACAGGGGTGGGTTTGGCAGCTCCAGCCTGGGATTCCCAGGAAGATAGTCCCGGTTTGGAAGTGTGGGTTTGGGAATTTGGGATCCCAGCTCCTTCCTGGGTAATGGGAGAGGGAAAGAAACCCATCCAAATGGAATTCCATGGAATTCAGGGGCACAAATTCCAAAGAATTCAGGGGCACAGGGGAGAAGGTGGAATTGGTTTGGCAGCTCCAGGCTGGGATTCCCAAGGGAGAAATTCCCGGTTTGGAACTGTGGGTTTGGGAATTTGGGATCCCAGACTCTTTGTAGGTAATGGGAGAGGGAAGGAAACCCATCCAAATGGAATTCCAGGGAATCCAAGGGCAGAGGGAGAAGGTGGGATGGGTTTGACAGCTCCAGGCTGGGATTCCCAAGGGAGAAATTCCCGGTTTGGAACTGTGGGTTTGGGAATTTGGGATCCCAAACTCTTCCTGGGTAATGGGAGAGGGAAGGAATCCCATCCAAATGGAATTCCAAGGAGTTCAGGGGCACAGGGAGAAGGTGGGATGGGTTTGGCAGGTCCAGCCTGGGATTCCAAGGGATAAATTCCCAGTTTGGAACTGTGGGTTTGGGAATTTGGGATCCCAAACTCTTCCTGGGTAATGGGAGAGGGAAGGAATCCCATCCAAATGGAATTCCAAGGAGTTTGGGGGCACAGGGAGAAGGTGGGATGGGTTTGGCAGGTCCAGCCTGGGATTCCAAGGGATAAATTCCCAGTTTGGAACTGTGGGTTTGGGAATTTGGGATCCCAAACTCTTCCTGGGTAATGGGAGAGGGAAAGAAAC